TCAGGCTAGTGTTTTAGAATTTAGAATTTAGAATGAGTGGGAGGGGGGTTAATCACTTCGACCTTACAGATCCATTGTGTCCCCCTTTCTTGAATCATAACTCATCACACAGTCCCAGGGCTTTGACAAAAGCCAGTATCTGGGACGGTTTTATAGAGGGTAGTTCTCCATCTCCAATATCAGTCGTACCAAAATTCATGGCACGAATGGTTGTCGTCTCGGCGCACTCAGTGATGAGGTGTACTGGTGTTTCCCCATCTTCCCCACAGACTCTGCATTTGCCGTTTCTTCTTAGTTTCAATCTACTGAGGTGTTCATTGAGGAGACAGTGTCCTGTTAAAAACCCCGTGACAATCCGAAGAATGTTCTTACTCAGACCCAGGAAGATCTATGATTTTTCTTGATCATAAGCCCTCAGAAACTTCTTCGAGTGTCTTAGACCATTGCAAGATTTCCAATCCAGGTTGCGGATGGAATCTTCCTAGTTCTTGAGTTCCGCCTTGAGTTGGTTACCACTTGGAAAGCAGAACGGTTCTGGTCCAGTTAGTGGAGTGTTCGCTCCTTTCCTAGCTAGATTATTTGCATTTTCATTGCCTTCTATTCCTTGGTCAGCAGGCACCCAGTGTAGGAGGACTTTGTTTTCTTTGCCTAATTTATTCAGCTTCTCTATGCATTCTTTGACCAATTTCGAATTGATTGATACTGAGTTGATCGCCTTTAACGCTGCTTGACTATCAGATAAGATGGCTATTTCTTGTTTCCGATAGTTCCTATCTAAGATAAGTTGTACGCATCTCTCGATAGCGTAGATTTCTGCCTGTAGGATACTAGGGTAAGTGCCCATTGGTTCGGAGTAATTAGCTCTCGGCCCAAACACTCCGATCCCTGTTCCCGTATTGGTTTGGAAGCATCAGTATACCAAGTTATGGTATGGTCTTTTAACTGCTGGGCAAGCGTTTCGCTCTTCCAATCCTTCTTATTGCTCAATACTACATTGACATGTTTGTCAAAGTTGTACGTTCTTGGCATATCGTCCACTGGGAGTTGCAGGAGTGGTATTTCCTTTTTGAGGGTGTTCCAAGCCCCTGATCTGACAATTCTCCCAGTACTAATTCCGTTAGTGACCATTCTAATCATTGTCGCATTGGCATATCTACCAATGACAATGTGCAGTGGTGTTAGATCTAGAATGACCTCCATTGCTGCTGTTGGACAGGTTCTCATGGCTCCTGTGATGCAAACACATGCTAGTCTCTGGACTTTGCATAGGTTTAGCCTTGCCGTCCGTTGCTCTAGTTTTGTGTACCAGGCAACTGCTCCATAAGTAATCATGGGTCTTACTATCATGGTATACATCCAGCGCAAAATGTTAGGGGAGCAGCCCCATCTACTTCCGGCCAGTCTTCTGCATATCATGAGAGCCTTTATGGCTTTGCTGGTAGTGTTCTTAATATGCCTGTTCCACAGGAGTTTACTGTCCAGGGTTATTCCCAGGTATTTAACTTCCTGTGTCGGCAGTATTTCCTTTCCATCTAGTTGGATTCTTCTCAAGTTTTTCAGACTTCGCCTTCTGGTGAATGGCACTATCGCGGTTTTGTCTGAGTTGATACTCAGCCCGACAGTCCTACAGGCTAGTGTTTACACAAAAAATTATTGCAATTGATCTCCTTTTAGTACAAAAGATTAGAAGATTAGGTTACACCGCTTACTCTTACATCTCAGTATATTAGTATTTGATAGTTTGAGAGGGAACATCTTATAAGTTGTTCAAAATTTTGTCCACTTTCCTGCAAAAAATAATAAAGTCTGTTTTCAAATTCCTCCCTAACATTTCGAAAATCTTCACAGGGAATTGACCGGTATTCTGCTATAATTCGCCTTTTATGATCATCACTATCAGTAGGTTGTGTTTTATAAACAATGGATTTAAGATGGCCCCAAAGAAAGAAGTCAATGAGTGTTAAATCCGGTGATCTTGGTGGCTATTCTATTAGTCCCCTTCTGCCAATTCATGTACCCGGAAATTTTTCGTTTAACCACTGTCGGATCTTACCCCTAATCTTCTAATCATTTGTACTACAAGGAGGCCCATTGCAATATTTTTTGTGTAAACACTAGTCTGAAAACCAAAATCTCAATGCAGGCATGTTTAATTGATTCTACAACTTTGAAAGGCGGAAACCTCTGGATAAAAAGCAACAAAGTAAGGCAACAAAGGAAATCATTGAAAAGAGAATTAAACGCCCTTTAAAACGATGTGCCACTTGACTCCCATTCCCATTTAAGATAGGGAGTTGAAAGAAAAAGGTTAAAAATATTCATTTAAAGTGTCCCTCTTACAAATAAAATTGACGGGTCTTTCCGATTTTTCATATTTTTAACTGCAAGAAAGATATTAAGGGTGGGAAGTTTTAAAATTAACACAGTGTATATTGTCACAATTACTTGTAAACATCGATAAATGTCTCTAAAATACGACAGTCAAAAGCCCAATATGTTACTGCTAGAATTTCGTAATAAATGGATAGATTACTGGATTTCCGACTTTACTATAAATTATACTACTAATTAATTCCATATATACCAGGGTTTTCAGAAAAGATAGGAAAACAATTCAATGTTTAAAACACAAAATACACTTAGATCCTTTTTGGCCCCCACAAAACTGACATACAGTTAATAAAGAAAAAAAATTTGATCATAATCTATGTGATTTTTTCGAAAGCGTAGAGCTGCCATCGCAACATTGAAAAATATTTTAAGCAAAATTTACAACAAACCTATCCAAATTTACAGATTTTCTGTAAATTTACACTTTTTCTTTGAATTTCTGCGTTAGTGGCAACAGTGGCGCGTTATTCTACGAGTAGGTAGTTCCCATCCAATTCCGTTCTACGTCAATTTATTCACAAAAGTCTTCACTAGTAAAGACAGAATTAGGGAACCACTGCGGCAATTATTTGAAGGATTGAAGACATGCGGACTAGGGAATGCAATCCCGCAAATGCTGGACCCCGAAAATGCGGTATCGCTCTGAGATTCCGCGGGATCAAAGTTGCGGGATTTACCGTGCGGGATCCGCGGGATCGACACATTACTACTGGGTAACCGAATCTATGAACCGAATCGATCTCGATTAAGGTCAAACCGCTTCGTTCCGGGCCGAAGCGTCAACGCTCGGAACCCGGGGGATTCCCCTTACGGTTTGGCCATTAAAAATAAGTGAAACAAACAGGTTAGTTGTTAGATTTCTTTCTGGGGTATGTGCGTAAGTGAAGAAAAGCGTTTAACTAGTACTTGTGGGCAATTTCGTCAAATAAACTGCCGGACATAATTATCGGGACAAGCAAAATTTTAGGGTAAATTTAAAATTGAATATCTCTTGAACTAAAAAAGACGTTGGGATGCGGTTTGGACCAGGATTTAGATGCATCTATTGTAATTAAGACGCTATGTGGTTTTCGAAAATATATTTACCGAATTCTCGTATACAGGCGTTTTATGAGAGTGTGAAAATTTGGTCAAGAATCTTTTTTACCACAGATTTACAATTTTTAAAAAATCGAAATTTTTACCAAGTACGACTAATCTGTATTGAAATTAGAAAAAACAATTTGATCGTTTTTTTATTTTTTTTTAAGGAAAATACGACGTTTCGAAAAATATGCATTTTTAGGCATATGTATGGCCCTAAATGGTACAGAAAGCTTTGTACATTCTGCATATGCCAAAAAATTATTGATATAGAGTGTATCAGTAAAAGCAGATAATTAACACAAGTTTAAAAAAACTTAGATATCTGAATAATATTTTTATTTATAAAATAAGTAGATAAATTATAATAAAATTTAAGTTTATTTAATATTAAATATATTTTTTGAACACCCTGTATACATCGGTTCAAATTTCTGTACAGCTAGTTTAAGATACACGCTATATCAATGTTGTGGGCCTATGCAAAATGTACAATGCCTTTTGTGCCATTTAGGACCAAATGTATGACTATTGTTTACAGTTCCGCAATTTTGCGGATCCGCGGGATTGATTGCTTTAATCCCGCGGGTTTGCGGGATTGAGATTTTGGTGCGGGATTTCATTCCCTAATGCGGACTATATGAAAATTAAATTATATATTTTGTTCTGAAACCACATTGTCTTCAAAAATACTTGAAGAATTATTCCTCATCGTCTATACCGAACCTGGGTCTAACACACGTAGTACAGAAAATCGGGTGATCTCTTATTTTAGGGATTATGTATTGGATTTCGAATGTGTGTGATATAATAGTATGGCATTTTTTTGTTTAATATGTTTTCCAATATGCTTTTAATCGATCCGGAAAGTATTGTCACCCTTTCCGATGCATTAGTGTTTGCAACATGATCTGATTGTCCTCCAGCTCTGGGATGACGTAAACTCTCCTCTGCAAATGACGTAAACTTAGGACATAACCATCCTCTAGCAGACATATCAAAATTTCTTTGTAACTTAATCCGATTTGAAAGTAGGTTTTAATGTATTTGTCCATAATCTCTGATGAATATCTGTACTACGTAGGCACAATATAGTCTGTGAAACGAATAACTTTGAATTTGACAGTTTCCGCGGGCTTTTCTAGTGTTAATTTTATTAGGTTAGCAACTTGCGGCCATGCTAACGCAATGCCGTCTCTAATAGAACAGCCTCGGAGCGAGATTTATGACGTCACGCTAACATAATTATTCCTTATATTTGACTATGGCTGAAATCCATTGTTACCGTTTAACGGTCGTTTAAGTACAGCCAAATTATATTTCAATGTTACGATGGCAGCTTTACGTTTTCGTAGATTCGTCAAACATATAAATCTAAAATCATGGCACACCGTGATCGAAAAGTCAAACAAATCTGACAGACAGTGCACTCGATGACTTTTCGTCTTTAACGTATGAAAATAAAAATATTAGGTATATGACTCCTTTCTTAATTTTTATATTTAATAAGTGTAGTCTATAGGTACCTCAGGAAGTTTCTTTGGCTGCTTGTTGTGCAAATGTATGCCTCCAACTTCAATAATACTGGGTGTGAGTAGTCTGGCACCATGAAGTGTATGATGAGTATTAACCAGCAACAAACTTGCATCGTGAGGGTCTGCAGCTGGCTCTCCAATATATTTCTCTGAGTATTGATTTCCAGGTTTTGACATTCCGATATTGTACCTAAAAAAATAACTTTGATATACACAGAAAAAAACAATAACGTATTTTCAACAATAGTTTTATTATTGAGAGCAAACCCATTCATACAAACATAGAGCAGTTAGCAGAACTATTATAAACATTTTAGTTTAAATATAGACATATTAGTTAACGCGCAATCTGCAAAATATGTAATATCATTGTTGCAAGTAGAGATGCTCTTTTTCTATCAAAACGTTGCTTACATTACAACGATTAGACATATAGTTTAGCACATTTTACCTTGGGACGAATCAATTATTTAATAGTTATTTTTTATACAAGACGATAAAATTGTATTTTATCGTAGACCGAAAAGATTAATTCACGAGCGATGAAATCGCGAGTGAATTAATTTCGGGAGACGATAATGCAATTTTATCGTCGTGTATAAAACAATATATTTTTTTCCATAGTTACGTTTTAAAAAATACTCAGAAATTATTATTTCAAGGAATTTATTACAAGTAGAAAAAATATTGTGCTAGGTTGGAGTTGGTTTCTATGTAATTTGACATATAAATAAAGCTGTCTATTTAGTTGTCAGTTTTGAGTCAATATTTTTTAATTCTCTTTCGTGTCGATTGCTGATTGAATTGGAGCCAGAAATGACTCAAAACGAAATAAGTAAATTACCGACAGATATTCAGGCTGAGGGGATAAACGCCATATATAAACTACTTCCATTTAAATCCCGAATAACTTATGAAAAGGAATAAAAAAAATTTGTTCAATAATATGCCATTGTTCGCCCAACGCTTGTATTGTTTATACGACTATGCTATACTTGGTTGTGCTTTTTGGATGGAGTGGGAGAATCACGTGTTTGCTGGTATTATATGGTGGCAGGACGCCTTCCAAAAAACATTTTTACACAATTTTTGGTAGTTTTGTTGTGTTAATTTATAATGTTTACTCGTGTTTACTATAAGAACATGTCTATGTCGACGTATATGTGAACGTTTATCTTGAGTTTACATCAAATTAGCTTACTGAAATATAATATTTCCTCAAATTGATATAAACCCATGTTGGTCTATATTTAAGACTGACAATATCACTTACATTGCTGTAGTGTAAACTCTCAGTAGCGTGTTTTCTACCCTGTCAAAAAATGACATAGGCCTGGAGAATCCTGAGAACAGATCTTGGTTGAAAGCTGGGTTTTCTGGAGCTCCCAGCCAGTTGGCGTGCCAGGGCATAAATGAGCAAGAACTCAATCCTAAAATAAAATAAATAGTTTTAGAAAATGAAAATTTCTACCGTCATCGAAACAAAAAACAGGCACAGTGTTCTTTAACATTTCGTTACTTTGATATACTTGGGATATTTGGGTTACTACTATCTCAATATATATATATATATATATATATATATATATATATATATATATATATATATATATATATATATATATATATATATATATATATATATATATATATATATATATATATATAATATAAACTGACCTTTATTGTTATATATATATATATGTGTATATATATATATATATATATATATATATATATATATATATATATATATATATATATATATATATATATATATATATATATATATATATATATATATATATATATATATATATATATATATATATATATATATATATATATATGCTTCTTTAATGAAACTGTCCTTTATTGTTATAATATATAGGGTGTGTCATTACAAAAATCCCAACTTTGATGAATAACTTTTTTTGGGGACATTCTATAGAACTCGAGGCAAGATAGATTTTTATAAAATGCTTTTGATCCAGTGTATCGTAAATATATTTTTATCAATAAATAATTAATCAATCACAATAAATTTTATTTGAAGTACATAATATATACCAAACAATCGAAAAAAAAACGGCGTCAAAGACAGCTGGGGAATGACAATCGAAAATAAAATCCGCCGAAGTTAATCTCTAGATGTTATTAAGTAAAAAACTGGAATAAAACTTGGCAAAAATTATCACTAACAGAATAATTAAAACAGGATAGAACGTTTCCAAGCACACTAATTAATTCAAAAAAAAAATATTTTTCTCGGATTTTAAACTACACCATTTAAAATAATGTTTACTCTATAAAAAAATAACTTACAGTCTTCTTAAGGACAAATGCCGTAACCATCATTAAAAAATAGAGAAGAGTATGAGCCAATAAAATGTCGTCTAAGGCTTGACCTTGCCAAAATTATCATCGATTGTCATTCCCCAACCGTTCGACGCCGTTTTTTTTCTCGTATGGTAGATACTGTTTAGTAGATAAATAATAGACACCAAAACTATTACAGCTCAAAAAAATCTATTACCGCGATTACGTAGGCATAAAATAAAATTATAAGAGAAATCACTCTTCACAACGCTCGATAAAAAACTAGCTACGTTAGATAGTTAGGTTCAAATTTATGATGTTGATTATTACATGCGTACAAATGGTTCAAATATGGTTGAATCTATAGTAAACTTAGTTGCCGCAAAACTAAATGAGCATTTGTTATACAGGTTGTCCCAATGTTCCATGGACATAGGACAACTGTGTATTTATGAAATTAAAGTAAGTTCACTGGACACACTTAACATCTATACAAAAGTGCTTCGTTTGTCAAAAATTAAAAAAAAAGTACGGGAAGGGTCAAAACTACTACATTTTTTATCTCGTGTAGAAACACGCTACATCGCAAAGTTTTTAAGAAAAATTTTTTGCAGAATTTATTTTTTCAAAGCAGACCTACAAAATATACAGGAGTTCTAATATACTGTGGACATAGAGCAACTACGTATTTTTTGCAACAAAATAAGTTAATTCCACATAAGTTACCTTTATACAAAAATGCTTCGTTTATCCGTTAGAGGTCCTCAAAGAAAAATATACCCGAACGTTAATTAATTTAAAATTAAAATTCCATATTTTCGCCAACTAGATTATGAAAGCATAATAGATTTTATGCGCATCCATAGATCGATGTGACGAAAAACATTTTTTATAAGTCAGCTTTGAAAAAAAAATCCTCAAAAAGTATGCACCGTGGCGTTATTTTACAAGAGACAAAAAATGTAGTAAATAGTAGGGGTAACATTTTACGAAAAGAAATTTGCCTTCGGTAGTGTCGGAAAATAATTATAAATTTATGTAGGGGTGGGGGTAGTTTTCACCCTTCCCGTAGTTTCTCTTGATTTTTGTGTAAGTCAAATGTTAGAGCACTTAGCAAAACATGGATACCCAAAATCTCATTCCAAGCGGAATAATGGTTCTTAAAATATCTGAGAAAATCTGTTTATTTTTTTAAAGTTTCATGCCCCCTAGCGGACAAGCGAAGCACTTTTGTATAGAGGTAAATTGTGTCCAATGAACTTATTTTTATTCCAAAAATACGTAGTATGTCCACGGAATATTGGGACACCCTGTATATATATTTTCTCGTTAGATAATGGACTTCGACACACCAAACGTTTTCGATTTTCCTTTTAAGTATTGTAGTTGTACTATAATAAATTTATGAGACAATTTACAAAGTTATTTAAAAATACACGAAGTAGGTATCTTTAAGGAAAAGTGTACGGGGAATTTCATAACATCATTCGATAGAAAAAAATTACGTCACAGTGGCATATTAAAATAATGTACCGTTTATTAAAAAATGGTCAAGTGCGAGTCGGACTCGCGCACGAAGGGTTCCGTACCAGCACAGAATATCTAGCTACGCAACAGAAAAATACTCGAAATGAAAGAGCTAAAATTGCACAAATAGAATACTAGATGGCGCGACAATATCATAATCAGAATATAATTAGAAATTTTGAACTTTCGGTTTTGGATCGACGGCTCGTCGACGGCCTTATAGCTCGGCTAAATATGCACAGTTGCCAGATTCAAAAAGACTTGAATTGGCATCCCATTCTTTTTATTGTGTATAATGCAGTATGTGTTTCTTTCTATTCTTCTTTTCTTGTCAGATACACTTATATTAATTATTCCTTTCGCTATTAAAATAGTTTTAAGTATATTATTACAAAACATATACCTACATTTTTAATATACACTATACATTATAATGTTAACTAAGAAAATACCTTTAATTACCTTTAAAATTAATAATATACAGAGCGATTGATAGTGATATTTATTAATGCTGGAACGTTAGTAATGAAATATAAGTTTAATAATAATGGAAATAATTTATTAAAATGCAGTACAAAAAATGTTAACTGACTAAAAAATACTATAATAACAAATTTCTTCCGTTTGCCACGTTATTTATATAGACCTAGGTAGATTTTAAAAAGTGACACAGGTACAATTAATAATATATTAGTTCGGCATAAAAGTTGCTGTCACGACATCGAACAATAAATTAAAATTATTAATTAAACAAATCTTTATAAAGAAACGCAAGTATACCAAATCTGGGCCCAATCGAACTCCGAAAATGATATCATAATAGTGTACTATATTATGGTACCACTCGATATACTTTAAGGTACCATAATATTGCAATGTCACCGAAGATTCGTGGTATACCAAATTTAAGAACAATCGAACGCCATGAAATGGTATCGTAATATGGTACTATATTAAGGTACCACTTTATATACATCATAGTTCAATCATATTACAATGTAACCGAAGATACGTAGTGTACCAAGTTTGAGCCCAATCGAACGCCAGAAAATGGTATCGTAATATGGTACTATATTAAGGTACCACTTTATATGCATCATAGTACCATCATATTACAATGTCACCCAAAATACGTAGTATCCCAAGTTTAAGCCCAATCGAACGCCATGTACGTAATATAATACTATATTATGGTACCAGTTGATATGCTTCATGGTACCATAATAATGCAATGTCATCAAAAATACGCAAGTATATATCAAATATGAGCTCAATCGAACGCCAGGAAATGGTATTGAAATATGGTACTATATTAAGGTACCACTTTATATGCATCATAGTACCATCAATTACAATGTAACCGAAGATACGTAGTATAACATGTTTAAGTCCAATCGAACGCCAGGAAATAGTATCGTAATATGGTACCTCTTTTATGCTCCATGGTACCATAATATTACAATATCACCGAAGATACGTAGTATCCCAAATTTAAGCCCAATCGAACGCCATGTACATAATATGGTACTATATTATGGTACCAGATGATATGCATCATAGTATCATCATATTACAATGTCACCGAAAATACGTAGTATACCAAGTTTAAGCCCTATTGCCGCCATGTACCTAATATTGCTATATCATCAAATATAGTACTATAGAAGGTACCACTTTATATGCTCCATGGTACCATGATATTACAATGTCACTGAAGATATAGTATACCAAGTTTAAGCCCAATCGAACGCCATGTATCGTAATATAGTACTATATTATGGTATCACTTGAATGCTTCTGAAAAAACGGCGTCCAGTTGGCTGGAAAGGACGATCGATGACATTTCCCATATAAATTTACATATAAAATGACAGTGATATTCATTTCATAGCTATCGCTAACGCCGTTTTTTCCCGATTATACAATATGAACTTGGTATGAACACAATCGAACGTCAGGAAGTGGTATCATAATAGTAGAACAATACTTATTATATTGTCGCCGAATTACAATGAAAATTTCACACCTCTACTTTTCAACCAATAACATGCTTTAATGTTGACTAGTTACCATGGCAACTGAAAAAATTTCCGGAAATTTTTTCGAGGCGCCACGAAACTTTAGTGGAAATTTTTTGACAGTTGAAAAGGTAAACATAAGATCTACAATCATAATGTGAATGAACTACAATGTCTATATATTGAAATATTACCCATTTGAGTTTTAGCAATACCTTGGCCAACTTAACAAATTGAAATTATTTTAAAATGTCATGTTGGATTAATATTTTTTTTTTTCAAATTTAGGTGTGAAATTTTCTTACCGAATACCACGCAAGCTTAAATTATTCCTGGAAATTTTCTTTCGGGCACGAATATTTTAGGAAAATTATCCTTCGTCTTCGACTCGGGATAATTTTCAAAATATTCATGCCCTCAAAAAAATTTCCGAAAATAATTTAAGCTCTTGTGATATTATAAGTGAAAATTCAGGATTCAATTATACAATCAACGGTCAGGAAGTGATTGTAATTTAGCTCATAAGATTTAATTCCAACTAACATGGCAAACTGAAAAAAACAGCT